TATGAAGTGCAGCATACCACAGGGCTCCAAGAGGGTTTACTCCACTTGGCTTCCTTGACCTGCATCGAACAATCGCTGCGTTGCAGTGTAGCAGCACCAGCAGATGCAAGTTAAGATATTTTCAGCATTATGGTACCCAAGGAATGTGCAGAAAAGTGTAGCTTTTCTGTGTATTACAGTAGTGGCCTCAGTTGTCGTCGGAACACTGTGGAACCTCCGAGTTATTAGTGGCTGCCTATCAACTGTCAATGTCCTCACAACATCCAGCCGATTGTACAATGTCTTTTGTTATAACAGTGTGCCTTATGTACCAATCTACTAATTTTCTTCGACCATGACCTTTTGAAAATAGTTGATACCGATTGTATTTTTCTAGTGAGTAATCTGAGTGAATGATTGTAAGTGAATAAAACAAATCAAACGCGACTGTTAAAGCGACGTTGGACTTGCATTAGAGTTACTGTTGTGTATTTCATACGCCCAACACACTCCAGCAACTTGATTCACTCTTTTTTGTGACATTACATAATTTGCTTTAAGGTTTCTCACATATTTCCCAGGGATCCTGAAGCAACAAAAAGCAAAACACTGCGGCTGGTGTTTGACCACAGTGCAAAGACACGATGGTGTGACGAAATGAAACTACTCTCATAGCAGGTCGGCTAACAAAGTCAACTGCAGAAAAAAAACATTTCGAACAAAATATAAGAGCAAGGGCGAATAAGGGTGTAAACAATCCAGTATTCCAGTATAGAGTAAACACAAGGTGTAAACACCCCAAGAAAAACCCGAGACTGCAGGTAATAAGAACGACATATACACTAAAAAGTATCAAACAAAGGTCAAACACGGAGCTATGTTTGAGACTTTTTAGTCTATGTGTCGTTCATTTACCTGTGATCTCTGGAATTAGTTTTATTTAATTTTCGCGCCAAACCGCACGCACGCATGACGTCATGTTTTTTTCCGGAGGTGTCGTCATTTCCTGTTGATTTTTTGTTCCGCCGGAAGTGTCCCCACGACTCATAGATGGCGCTAAAGCAGATCCATGGGCCGCCATTTTTTCGACATGTGGGCTTCTATGGAAGCTTCGCTACCCATTTACATATACCTTGTCGCTACTCTGGCAGCTACGCTGCCATATAGAGTGGCTCTAGCCTGGCTGGCTCTTCGATGCTCGATCTGTAAATAGGATGGTTTTCTTTCGATGGTATAAATGTTCTACTTTCTCTTGCCCATCTGCCGGTCATGAGGTCTTTACTCTGCGACTCGCAGAATAGAACAGACAGTGGCATCAATTGAACCTCTAGAGTTCATCATAATACATCTATGCTTACGATTAGAGCCCCTAAATGAGCTGCGCCTACAGTATTGGCACTCCGTTCATCGACATTGTTGTGAGCGCCGCCATATCGGCTCGAATGCACAGCAGACGCAACTACCGATCGTCATGATGCAGAAATGCAATTTTCTCAGCATTAGATTCGGTGTTAGGAAGGTCATGTGATATCGCTTTGTTCTGTCGCGAACTGTTTAAGCATTTGTTGGTGGCAGAAAAGCGTGTCCTGCGATTTCAAATAAAGTTTCCGTAAACTAGCAACCACGGCTTTAACACACAATATGGCCAAGTGTCGTTTCTCTGAAGCGTAGCTTATTTAGTGGCACTACTTGCGACAAATGGCATCTCAGCTGTTACTGGGTGAAAGAACGACTGCCAAGCCTGGGGCGCGCGAGCGCTTGAGCCTCGATCGACTTGCGACGACACTTCGCTCGTGCGCTAGCTTTGGCATTGCTTTCTTTCACTCTGTCTTGGCTGGGAAGCTGAGCCCATGGCGCGCGTGGTAGGAGCGGGCTTTCTCTCATACGATGAAGAAGACTGAGATAAATCGGGGTGTGTATATTTATGCAGCCTAGAACTCAGTTTGCCTCAACGGGCGAATTGTCTCTCAGTTGTGGATGAGAAATTTGGCCAGTGCAGTGCAACCGCTATAGCCTGCGGTTTTTAACGTGCACCACACAGTAGTGATACACGACCGCAGGCCGGGTCTATGCTGATCCAGATGAAGACAGGCAGGGGTGAGGATTGAGCCCAGGATCCCTTTAATCTGCAGCCCGAGCATTCGTTTCACGCGCTCCAAGCTGGCATGCACTAGCCCACTCGGCCACCGATCCCACAGGGACTGTACATTGCTGTACATATTGGTCGAACTTTACGAGCGCACGTTCGACACCGCAAAAGACAAAGAAGACAAGAGAGCAAGAAGCAGCAGCGACAAGAACGACGTTCCGTCAGTTCGAGCTTCAGCTGTGTTCCAGCAAGATGGACGCCCTCATCGGAGAAGAACCTGGCGAGACCGAGACTTCTGGAGATTTACCGTATGATACGCTTACTGGCTCCTCTCGGTTGAAACCTATTTTTTGGGGGTTTAATCCCCAGCGGCGGCATTTTGTTGGTACAGTGTGTTGCCATATCACGAGGCCTGACTTGGGCACCATGGAACATTCGAACTTTACAAAGGATTGAGGTGGTACACTTCAACTTTTGAAGGTTGAACAGCTTGACGTTTCATTGTAACCGATTGGTGTTAGAGGACCTTAATCAGGTTTTTTCAGAAATGCGTAGTGCGAATTTGCGCAAATTTAGGCACTCCTGGATTCCAGATTGTGTGCTTTCAAAACAGTTGCACAGTTCTTTATGCAGCGCGCTAGGGTCTTCTCTTTTTGTGGAAAATATTGTTTTATTACAGTTTCTTCGGATAATAGTTCTTTTTTTTTAATTCATACCGCCAAATGTCCTCACTCTAGTAAACGTGAATAACTTATTATTTTGACGAAAAAAAAATACGCTTCTTTATACCTTGAAGAGACGAATAAGCTAAACTAACAGGACTTCATCACCTCCTCGGCCTTTCAGTTTTCACGGTTACCCATGTTAGTTTTACTTGTCGAATCCCATAACAATTACAAGTGTCTTGCTATCAGCAATCTAAGCTTAAAAAAGACAAAATAATTTAATATTTAGTTACTACTTGCGCGAGAAACGAGTGACAATGTACAAGTTACTTTTTAGTAGGCTGTGCAGAATCTGGAAACAAAAACAAATGCGATATTTCTGTAAACGCCTATAACAAGGTACTGCCGATCAATACTTACAACCGCACCAGTTAGGTTCGCTCACCCAGTGAACTCTTTGAACCGCGCTATAGTCGCTACTACCTTGAGGAGGTACCACCCTTAGTTCTTTCATTGTACACCCCATGGGATTGTTTCGTAACATTTAATGCCTTTCAAACACCAATTCGTTTTGTTCCCACGCGATGGCGGAAGCAGAAAATATTCGAGAAAAACGGGCAGCGTTCACTTCCCTGAACGCGCAACCAAAACAAGCGGCCAGGTGGCCTGAGACCGATTATACGACCCCAATGTTCTTCCTAGCCACGCGCTAGGGTTGGCAACACACAGGACGTTCGCTGAGTGCCACACTTGGTTAGGACTCGGCTATTGAGCGCTAGTCGCTAGCCGAATGCATGCTGAGGCATTGATTGTCTTGCACGCGAATAAGATGCTCGCGCAGTGCTCCTTCCCGCTGTACGAGCTGCGTATCAATATTGTCACCACGAGTGGACCCCGTGGACAATAGAACTCACGATTACGTTATTAAATTTTGGGAGGGACAGAATAAAAAACAAGTCCACTATTGTGCTTGAAACTGCGAGACTACAAAGAAGCTTCTAGATCAGTGGCGTAGCCTGCTAGTATAATTGGGTTTTACTATTGCCAGTTAGCTTATGTGAAGTGAGAAACATATTTACCCTGACATCGCTGCAAGGTTCTTTAAGATGCAGGAGCGCAGCTAACTATGTTCTTCGTTCGTGCTTCGGAATTAACACTCATCCTCATTGGCCGCCAATTAACAATGACATGGTGAGGATATTCTACTCTTCGTATTTCTTAGGCTTTCAGATTCTATAACAGTTTCATTTCGAGCATTCAACTGTCAAGGAGCAAGCAGGAAATACCGACGATTGCTTGTTTATTAGGTAACAGCAAATTCCATCTAAATTAACACTGGCAACTCCCACAGTGAGATGGTGAAAAATGATCGCAGCGCCCCTGGCGAGCACGGAGTTTTTTCTAGCAGACGAATTTGTTTTTGCCCATATCTGTGCGAGGTGACCAATAAAAAATATTGTCACGGGTATTCGTTCCATTAAATGTTAAATAACAGGTGACACCCAATAAGTGAAGGATATTTTTTTCGCGTGGGAAAGATGTTGGAGCTTTAAGGTTGCAATTCCGGGACTCTCCTGGGACAAAGTACTCCGTCGCAACTTATCTAAGCCAGACAAAACACGAATGTAGCTTCGCGCGATTTACTATTCAGCATTACTGTTCTTATGAATCAATTAGTTTTGTTGCTGCAATTCCCATTTCTCATTATTGTCTTGCTCATAACCGTTTTGTCGAATAGGCGACCTGGCTAATCCCGTTAAGATCGTCTCCAGTTTAAGAAGCAAAATTCAATTTCGAACCAGGTACTTTACTGCGATTTCGCTCTAAAAGAGGTCGACTGTGCAGATGCAAAATTTGACGCTATCGTTAAAATATTAAAAGCGGAATTTCATAATAATAGAATCCTCGCGCTTGCAAGCGCAAAAAAAAAAAAAAAAGAGGAGAGCGTCGTAGCGCAAATAAAGGTGATTTCGCTCACGTTATATGTGGTGCACAAATTTCGATTGTTAGCGCCGGGACGACTGACGTCGTCTACGTTTTCTACGATAAAAGCTGGCGCCCCTTGGATCGTGTGCAACTCCTTCCATTTTTCAAATTCCACTTTCTTTTTAGGGGTGAAGCTCCTTAGGGTCTAGCCTTGTCCGTCCGGCGTCCGTGCTCACATCGATCTTGCTGGTGCTCGTGCTTCTGCTCGTGAGCTCCCGTGCTCACGTGCTCGTGTAGGGCCAAAAAAAAATAATAAAACAAAATGTTAAAAGAAATGTTTGAGCGGTTGACAGAATTTGTACCTGTGCGGGGAGACCCCAATGGATTAATAGTCCATCGCCTTAACCACTCGGCCACAACTGCCGGACGAGTAAGGGGCTCTGAAATGTGGTAGTAACTCAAGAGCTGGGGATGTCATGGATGAAACGTTGCATGCAGCCGCTCAGCGTCTATACAGGAGAGGGCGCTGGGGTCAAATGCGTATATAATCGCGTTAAACTTTGCATGCATTGGCTTAAGGTTTATAGACGAGAGGGCGCTGCGGTCAAGTGCTCAAATGCGCATATACCACGTTCCATACCACACAATCTCCTTCTGACATGGATGAAAACGAACGAAAGGCTCGGCATGCTGCGGCTCAGCGTCTACGCAGACAAGCACCACCAGAGCTTCGCACCAATCAAGATCATTCACCACGTGGAGATGCGGTCAATTTTTATATTTGAGGCGACGCTACGCCCGCGCAGTCTCTCTTCCTCCTGTTTTTAAGTTGTGTTTCTTCTGTGGCTTCTTTCTTTTTTTTTTTTTTGTTTACTTGACGTTGGAACCATCGCGCATTTTTCTTCGCCATGTTCTGCTAGATTTTACTGTCTTTCCTGAGGGTCGCCTGCAACTTTGTTGTTGTTTTTGTCTTTTATTGTCGTCCGCGATAACCTCCTGTTTTCGCCCTCCATTGAGTTTCTATTCCGAAATATTCGTATATACTTTTTGATTTTTTATTACATATAGGGTTACCCAAGTCACCAGGCTCGATCTAAAATGGACCGTAAAAATTGACGCCCGTACGTAGCAATCTAAACTTTTTGTCAAAGGTGTGCTTCACAGGTCAGTATTTTTCTTGTAAAATTACGAAGCGTAGCTCTCTTTCCGTAAAGAATAAGGCCAAGAAACTTGCCAGGGTCCACGGCGGGCGGCGAAGCAGACGACAAGGGTCCTGTAGCGTGTTGTGTTTGGCGTTCATACTGATAGATGACGCTACCTCCTTATCGCGACGGCTCGCGACCACCCTGCTTTATTAAAATGAACATAATCTTTTCGTAATGTATCTTTGGTTAAAACATAAATGCGGACAATAAAATCAACACGCAAAGTTAAAAAAAAACGCAGCTGCGTAACAACCGCGCTTTTGTGTGGCTATACCTTCGGATGCTGCTCCTGCGCCATCTATCAATACGAACGCGAAACACACCCCAATACTGGACATGGTTGTCTGCGTCGCCGCCCGCCATAGTCCCTGGCAAGTTTCTTGGACATATTTTTTTACAGAAAGAAAACTACGCTTTGTAATTTTGCCAAAGAAAAAAACAAAACAAAAAACCTCTGGAATACACCTTTGACGAAAAATGTAGATTGCTACGTGCAGGCGTCGATTTTTACGGGTCATTTTAGATCGAGCCTGGTGACCCTTTATATTAAAAAGTATAAGCTTGGTATACATTTCTATTCGGATTCTATTGTTGTACGTGGGCATATCTGCTATGGGTCAACGTTTCTTGATCAATCGGCCGCCTCAAGGCATACAGCAGGGCATATTTGGAGATGGCAGGCATATGGCCATGGGCTGCCTACCAGTGCAAAAACAAGATTCTGCCGATGTGGTGGAAAATTATTCTTCCGTTTTCTGAAGATCAAACAAGCGTGAGTAATCAGTTACGGCAACATTCAAATTAAACTGGAAGAGCTATCAAATCTGGCCTCGAAATCGCCACTGACGGCTTAACAGATGGTTATGACAACTCCACGGAGATCGCGGAGAACTTTACGGACGACAGACCAGACGCACAACTGAACGCCCAGTCCTATGTAACTGGGTGGGCAGCCAGTCAGATCTGTCTTCATGCTTGCCAAGTCCAAATGCAATAAAAAAAAATTGAACATCTCGAACCACACTCTGTTAAAGAACAAGAAATATTCGCATGCAAAATGAGACCACCTTTCGACCTAGCTTGTCACCTAGCCGGTAACGTCAGCCCTGCCTTCGACACGCCAGCTGAAGGCAAATTTGAGGCCGCTGATTGACGAAACAAATGCGCGGTATGCAAAGCTTGCCGGAACACGCACATCAACAATTTTCACTTGAATCTACTTCTTAACTGCGTCGTCAAGCGAGCAAACAAAAAACCTGCCAAGGTCACTGGGAAAAGAAATGCGAAAGCAGAAAAGGTCACACACTTGCACGTACCAGATTGCAGCGTGGGACTCTTATTTTACGGGCAGTGTGAGCCGGACTACGCAATTTCTTCCTTTTTTATTATTTTAGTTCTTACCAACGCCGCGAAAGTATATAAACAAACGTGTAATGAGCGGCTGAAAAAAAAAAGAACCTCTTTCCTTTTATGATCCGTTTCGTCGTGTTGCTTCCTCAGTTTGTTGTGGACTCAACACCAACAGCGACCACCACCTGCGCAACGATCGTCATCGTTGAAGAAGCTTTTTTTTTCTTTTTTTTTTGTTTTTTTTTGTTGGGTGATTTGAATCTTTGTATCGTCTGCAAGCTCCTTTGTTTTATTCGCCGCTGTTCGCGACGGTACCCCATTTCTTTTTATTTTCGACAGCTATCGCGAACCCAAACTTTTTGTGCAAAGTTCGGAAATGTTTTCACAATCATTTTTATCGTTAATTCATGTTTTGTTTTTGTGCTGCAGCGGCTGGTGCGCTTGCTCTCGTGATATTGACATAATGTTTGCCCACGTTTTCATGATCAGGTAATAAATTGTGATAACTCAATTTGTAACGGATAAACACTAACCTCCTACGACGTAGTTCGAGTAGCAAAACACATTTTTCCGCTATCAAACGCGCTTTAAACGCGTGTGGTCCCCTGATTGGCATTTGAGACCGCTAAATAAACTGCTTTATCTTTTTTATGTGCGCGCTGTCCTTTGATTGTCGTCGCAGTGGCGATCAGTGGATACCGTTTTGCAAGCGGACTGACCGTAATGCATTGTTTCAGCTGTTGGGGTGAAGAAACTGGACTCGCTAAGCTCGAGGACGTCGCGGACCCTATACTTTTCCATTGCGTGGTCTGCTTCCGTAGACTCCGAGTCCGCTAGAGGCGCCACTTTCTTGTTTGCCGCTGCTCCCATGGGTTTTCGGAGCAGTTTTCAATATTAGCGAAGCTATATCGCATTTGGTTACAGTTTCGCGCATTATGCACATTGTGCGACTCATAACGCAAACGAGCCACCGCCGTTTTCTTCTGTATTGCTCTCGGTGTGTAAAGATTGTCCTGAAAATTACTATAGCGGTGGAAAGTGCTTAGTTGGGTTTGGACCTAAGAGGTAAATTTGGTGCCCGCCACTACCCTTTTGAACCTAAATGGAGAAACGAAATCGCCGAAGTCGCTTTAGCGCTAAGAGTATCGCGCAGTGTAAATGCTCAGTTAGTACACAATGAATTTTGAAAGTTTTTCTACACTTAGTCTTTTGAAAATGAAGACTGAAATTTAGAAAAGAAAATACTTTAGATTTTAGATATACAATTTAAAAAAAAAAATACGTTTTTTGTGTTTTTTTTTGGGGGGGGGGTGGGTAATGATTAGTTTCTAGAATTTGAAGTGAAAAATATTTGGGCTGAATAAATTGTGACTCCTATTTATTTGTTTCAGGCTGCGGAACAAACAGCTCAGTGCCCTGGTGGTGCTTCTCGTCCTTGTCATTGCTGGTATGTAGGGGCACACGATACTACTAACATGACTTCTAAGATAAAGAATTCTCTCAGAGCAATAAGTGTTCAGCATTTCCAGCTCTCATACATCAGTTACCTATATCTTGAGAAGACTTTGAAGGGGTTACAATTTTCCAATCATTTTGTTTACGATATTTACATGTGCCTTAGGCGTTTGTAGCTGCGCCGGCGGGTGCCGTAGTTCGTCAACGTGTAGCTGAATCCGCGAGCCAAATGTCACGCGCTAGCTTCTCTTTTTTCTCGGCGCCTTGTTGCCAGTCGTTACAAATCCCCCCCCCCCCCCCCCCCCCCCTTTAGCTCGGAGCTCGGTGTGACGAGCCGTGTTGACGGTATTGTAGCAATGCAGTTTTTAAAATTCCTTCTCAGGTGGTGTTGTGTAGATTGGCTGGCTGAATACGGTCTACCGATACGACTTCTTTGCGAGCTTCGATGGCCAGGCTGGATTTCTTTTCATGAAGTTCAAGTACCGCATAAGGTTCATCGTAAGGTCACTGTAGTGGCCATCTGACGGTGTCGTCTCGCGCGAACACATGACTGCAATGTTCGAGGTCACGGCTCACGGAGACCGTGCGTGATTGCATTCTGGGCGCGGTTGGTTGCAGAGTTGTTCTGGAAATGACCTCAATAGACCGATCTCACCAAGCATTCGGCGCATGCGTGACGCAGTCATAACTTTAGTTCACAGGAGGCAAAGAGCAGTGCACAAGAGGGCTCGTGACGTCCTGTGCTCTACACGCCCAGAGCACCAACGAGGTGCTCGCATGTGCAGAAAGACTATAGTTCCCTCGATGCATTGCGGCAGCGGTGGCGTAGTCAAACTGGTTGGTAAGATGGGTCTATTGGTTTGTGTAGCTCTCGCAGTCTTTGTCGCTAGCGTTATCGGTACTGTGAAACACTTTGCCGGGTAATTGAAGGGTAGTGCCGCCGTTCACCGATTCGGCGGTGCTGCATTTCAGCTCGTCACGCAGATAAGTGCGGATGTCCAACTTGAAACACGCAAGTTAGCGTACAGGGTGTTCAAGTGCTGAGTACAACACGCGGGCATCGTCCGGAGAGAAAGCCCGCGTCATCTACCGTCGCAGTCTGGCAGCTCAAGACCCCGTTCGTATCGATAGTCTCCAACAGGTTAAGAAACGCTGGGCATGCTCGCCCTTGAGAGACTCACCGTCGCTCCTCAGCTAATGAGATATCGATGGTAAGGACCTAAAAAAATAAAGCGATGCGCGTGAACGTAGTAGGCCACGTCTAGCGATTCTTGAATCATTTCTGAAAAGAACAGCTATAAGACCAAAGAAGATGCAATTGTTTTATTAATAACAAAAAAAAGGTATCTCTCTTCAAAACGTACTTAGCATCGCCGCATGAACTGTTTAGAGGAATCCAAGCTAGAGCGCTAG